TTGGGCCGGTTTAGTAATGTATTGTGATTTTATTAAAAGTTTAAATCCGTCTTTTTCTCACTTTAACTTTGTGTTTTTGCTTATTTTGCTTATTTGAACTCATTGTCTGTCTTCGGCCTATCTGTGTAAACTGATCCCAGGCCTTAGATCAGGACTTCCTGTGACCGGTTTATTGTAAATAATGCAGAAGTGTGACTGAAACTTATTTCTTAACTTATGTCTTGTTCCTTTGCCTCTGCAGACGGATTTCACCGGACCCAGCTGTCAGAAAAACAGAAGAGGAAATTATGAAAGCTCGTATTTCTCCGAGAAACAAAACGGTAAGAAACCCCGAAAAATAAATGTATAATAAAATATAATATTTTTAATATAATAATAACGATAATATATACAGCTTACAGGCCAGTTATGCTGCCACTTAAAAGATGTCTAGTGATAAATAAACATTAAATATCTTCAAATTTATTTATTTTTTAACGTCAAAAAGTGTGTTTTGTTTGATTTGCAAATGTGCACGTTTTATAATTGTATAATTCTTATATAAACATAAGTTGAGAAAAACATATAAATAATACAACTGAAAACATCAGGTTTGCCTGTTATATTCTGAGCAGGACAATACAGATAAAAACAGAGTTGTGTGTTATACTTCATAGAGAAAATATATGATCATTTAATCTTAATCTTAGTATTATATTATTTACTTTGGCTTATTTAACAGTAAAAGCAAAGGGAAGATGATGTTTCTTAATGTCTTAGATTTGAGTAAAGTACGGTGAATTGCCTTGTGTTGAAAAGTGCTAAATAAACTTGCCTTGCTTTGCCTTGAAAATTAAAAGCTTTATTCAGAATATATATTTTTTAGATTTTTAACGTTTATTTGTGTTTTGTTTTGTAGGTTCTCTGAAGAATCGAATCTCTGTTGTCTCCAGCCTCGACTGCCTGTCTAGCATTGTGGAGCGGATCTCAACCGACACCCCCTCTGCCCCCGAACCAGAGCAGAACCAGACCCAGAACCAGACCCAGACCCAGACCCAGAACCAGAACCAGAACCCAATCCAGAACCCCATCCATACCCCCATCCAGACCCCCATCCAGGACCCAAACCTCATCTACCAAGTCCTATAAACCCCCACTATCTCTACCTTTTAATTTAGTTGAACTGAACTGAGTTCCACCTGTTTGCACCAGATTCCTTCCAAAAAACCAAAAATATGGAAGCTCATTTGTGCCAAGAAAAAAAAGAGAAATCTGGGAAAATCATTTTTGAGTTCATAAAAAACAACTTAAAGCCCATTTACGTATTTACCTAAAAGTATTTGTCGCTATTGGTGGAGTGTGTTATTTTATATCAGACTATCTCTACCTTTTAATTTCATTTAACTGAACTGAGTTTCACGACCTGCATCAGATTCCTTCCAAAAAAAACTAAATGTATGGAAGCTCATTCGTGCCAATCCTTTTTAGTTTCTAAAGAACAACTTAAGGCCCATTTACTTATTGCTAAAGTATTTGTCGCTATTGGTGGAGTTTCTTATTTTATATCAGATTTTATAGATTTTATAATTACCGAGCAAACTCCACGTGCAGAAGACGATTTTGCAAAGAAAATATTTGTAGTATTTTTAAGTCTTAATCAAACAGCTTTTAAATAAGTATTACAAATATTAGTTACAACAAAAAAACATTGATAATTATTTCAAGATAAAGCTGTGTAATCTAATTTTGATTCATATTTTGAACATTTTAAGAATATATTTTTGTGACCTGACATTTTGAAAGAGGATTCAAAGTGGATTTTCTCATTCCCAAGTTTCCATACGCCATATTTATTTTCCTGGCATTAATTATCTTCCATATTTAACTATATTTAACCCCTGAAATTCTCTTTCCTGCTGTAAAAAAAAAATGCATTTTAGATGTAAAAACCACTATGAATGCTGGGAAATGTCGTTTTTAAAGACAGGTTTAGTGATGAATACAACTCTGTTCATTCATTGCAGTATTTCAATTTTATTTTAAGTTATGAGAAGTTATTTTAAAGGCTGATTTAGAGTCAGTCGTCCAGATGGATTTTTTTTTCTTCCTCTCTGTGCAAAAAGTCTATTTGATGAAGGACGGAGGCCAAACAAAAAAAACATCCATTTACATTCCTCCACTTTCGTCCATCTGAAGTCGTAAAAAAAGCCCCAGCTGTTTGAATCCCTCGGGAGGAAAAGCAACTGCAATAACATCCAGTGATATTTTAAAGATATGCCATGCAAAACTGCAGATTTCTGTAGAAAAACTGCAGTAAGTAACAACAACAAAGTGTGGGAGTCTGTCTGCTTCCTGTTCAATTTAAAAACATTTATTATTATTTGATGTTTTCACTCACTGCAGCGGAGGACCACTTTTCTGTTTCTGTACATACGATGTAAATAAGAGCTGATTTGTTCCAATGAAAGTGTTAATTATGTATTTAATGTTTCCGTCTGTACGTGCTTTTGTTTGTTTGTTGTGAAAATGTTAAACTTTATATTTATACATCTGAAAACTGAGTGACAGTCTTATGACTAATAAATGAAAATGAATATTTATACAAAAAAAACAATTGTCATTTTCTGAGTAACCTTTGGATATCCAGGCTTCAGGATTATTTAGATTTTAATGTATTTTATTGAGAGATGAGAACGTTATTTAATGGTACAAAGAATATATATAATATGTCCTTAAATATACGTTAATTACATAAGATATAAGCACTTTCTACTTTTAAATATTTTAATTACATTGAGCTGTATTTTATGATGAGCTTTAGTCTTTTTTAATAATTTTACAATTTTATTTCCACTTTTAGAGAAATTAAAGTATATTTTGTAGTAAAGCTCGAAAAACGAATCATATAATATTTTGCACCAAAAATTCAAGAAACGCAAGTGAACTGAATACAATATATTTATCAGCTTTAGGAGGATTTTTCACCGGAAAACAAAGGTCCCAGTCTGGTAGTAAAATAAACCATTCAACCTTTAAACCTGCAGCGCCATCGTGTGGTCGCAGAGAAGAACTGCATCTACAGAGGCTTTGGTGTTTTTAGAGATTACAATGAAATAACTTATTTCTTAAAGAGTCCTCTCCTGCTGATGTTCAGGTGTATATCAGTATGTAGTGTCTCTACTTTAAAGAGTCCTCTCCTGCTGATGTTCAGGTGTATATCAGTATGTAGTGTCTCTACTTTAAAGAGTCCTCTCCTGCTGATGTTCAGGTGTATATCAGTATGTAGTGTCTCTACTTTAAAGAGTCCTCTCCTGCTGATGTTCAGGTGTATATCAGTATGTAGTGTCTCTACTTTAAAGAGTCCTCTCCTGCTGATGTTCAGGTGTATATCAGTATGTAGTGTCTCTACTTTAAAGAGTCCTCTCCTGCTGATGTTCAGGTGTATATCAGTATGTAGTGTCTCTACTTTAAAGAGTCCTCTCCTGCTGATGTTCAGGTGTATATCAGTATGTAGTGTCTCTACTTTAAAGAGTCCTCTCCTGCTGATGTTCAGGTGTATATCAGTATGTAGTGTCTCTACTTTAAAGAGTCCTCTCCTGCTGATGTTCAGGTGTATATCAGTATGTAGTGTCTCTACTTTAAAGAGTCCTCTCCTGCTGATGTTCAGGTGTATATCGAGTATGTAGTTGTCTCTACTTTAAGAGTCCTGTCCTGCTGATGT